TTCATACCCGACACTCAAGTGCATCACTTCACTGCGCAGGTATAATCCTTCCACTACATACTTATCTTAGCAGAACTGAAGCTCCTGTTTTGGTTGGTGATGGTTATGATGTGTGTATGAGAGCATAGAGTGTATAAGCATCAGTGTATGAATAACTGTGCATTCCTAAAATCCAAACACGAGCTCAGCGATGTAACAAAACATCAGATGATTATTTAACGTGTTTCCACCACATCTTATCTGAGCTGCTGCTCATATCTTCAGTTTGTGCTCGTTAACGTCACTCCTGTGTGAGTGCAGAAAAAATCATTAAAACTGTTACAAAAAGAAGCAAAATGCAATGTTCTCCAGTCAGTAGCAGGAGGCAGGACACTGTGTTTGTGCCTTTGTGCGGCTATCAGGGACAAATTCATTAAAAAATATGAATGACCAAATTATCAGAGAGTGGTCAGGACAGCCAGACTGTGTGCTGACCCGATGAGGCTCTGGACTTCTCTGGTTTCTTTGTGTTACATCAGGTGAACACTATTTCTGGAAGGCTAATATTTACAGAACAGGCAGTGATGACATCTCAGTTCCTGCTGGTTGAGTCGCTCATTCAAAGAGACTTCTTGCAAAGATTGCACTTGTTCTGGAGCAAAATAACACAACATGCTGCAGAACAAACACCTGACCCACTGCATGAACAGCTGTACAGTGTGTTCTGAAGGCCACACTGAAGGGACCGGTTCTGAGGCTGGTCAGCTTGGTCCAGTGTTCAGCTGCATTATCAACAGACCAAGCTCGGCTGTTGCTTGGTTATCCAGACGCTCCAGAGTCTGAGTCAGTGTCTGCAGGTAGAGACGAGTTTCAACTTGTGGAACCCGTTCATCTGTCTGGACGGGTATCATTATTACCGGCTGTGGTTCATTGTGCACCACTGTTGTGTGACCTTGAATGGCTCCTATTGTGTGTGTGCGGTGCGTATGAGTTCATGCAGACATTCCTGTGTGCAGCTCCAGAGCAAACAGTGAAACCAGATCCTAACCGTATGCACGGCAGGTTTGGCCTGAGGACGGCGTGGATGTGAGCAGCAGACTGCATGCAGGGTTTCCTCTACATTCACGTAGGAGTGGAGGGCCGCCATTTCCCTCCAACAGAGCCTCAGAGCTCTTCTATAGAAAACCCAGACAAATGAACTGCTCTGAGCCTGGGTGCCACTGATTCTACAGCCCCATCAAGACATTATTAGTCTCTGTTTTTATTGTTATCTAATTTTATTGTTTTATTTATTATGTTTTTATTTTTACATTCAGCCTTTAAAAAGCCATGTTCAGCTGGCCCTTCAATAAGTAGGTTGTAGAAGTAAAATCTGCAGTCAGGTGTCGTGTTGACGTCGCCACGGCTCCGGACAGCCTGCTGCCCGCCGCTGGAGGAAACACTGACATGTGAACGTCACAGAGGAATAACGGCTGACTGCAGCTCCAACGAGTCTGTTCAGCAAAGGGTCCTGTTCAGGGGTCAATGCAGGAGATGCTGTTATCTTTACCCATTTCTTTATTCTAAACGTATGCATTCATATCTGGATTGGTTTTCTTGTTCTTTTGACTGGAAGTACCTACACCGTAAATAATCACAAGTTTAAACTGCCTCCTTTTATGAAGAAGTTCAGAATCTCACAAAATCATATCTAACCATAATCCAAAGAGGAAGCTTCTGCAGCAGTGTGCACGGCGTAACTGTGAGCCGGTCTGTGAGGGTCCACGTGCAGCACCAACATAAACCAGGAAAACAAATGGTGCTTAAAGCAAATGATTGGTCTGAGGAGAGACTGTATGAGGAGACTCTCCATCATCCACACCTAAGCTGTCTGTAGAAAACATCAGAAATAACACACAAGTTCCAAATGAATATGGCACTTGTGGCTCAGAGGGGTCACATGACCCGTGTTCACAGGCACTTTGTTGGTATGTTTTTGTTGCAGAGGTGTAACTGTTCTGGTGAAAACAAACCATTTCTGAATTAAAATGTAGAACCCATAAAGATCATCAGAGCTGTCTGGATGCTGCCAGACACTACGGTGGCTGAGGTGCTGAGCCTGATCCAGATCTACACATGACCTCCTATACAGTATGTACACATACTACATGTGCAGATGTTCAGTCGTGTGTCAGGTTTTCTGTGAATACTGTGAGTAAACAGAGTACAAACAGCTCATATGCGTTAAGGCTTCAGAAACATGCTGGACTCATCCGTCTCACCTCACAGCTCTGCCAGCGGTTAGGAATGTTGGGCCGAAGCTTCTGCTCACAAACCACCTTCCTCATCTCCTCCACCGATGGATCCGACTGAACCAGGTCGTAGTAGGGCAGCTGGTAGTCCTCATGAATGCCTGACAAGAAAAATGAAGGTAAACTACTACTCATGGGTCTGCCCTTCATCTACGTAGACAGTCGTGTTGTTAATACACTAATAATTAACTCCTCTTCTGCTCCATTCATCACTTCCTCCTTTCACGTGTCAGCCTCCCGTCCATGTCATCAATGATTCCACCTCTGCCATATCTTAAAATGTGACCCTCACCTCCCATAGAGCAGCGGCTGGCGATCTCCCAGAAGACCAGGCCCATGGCGTAGATGTCAGCTCGCTTGAATGACTCGAAGTGTTTCATGTTTATGGAGTCGTCCAGAACCTCAGGAGCCATATACCTGCACAGAGACATGAAGGCTTGTTGTCATTTCTATACCACGGCATGTTGCTGCCTACAGTAAACCAAGTCGTGTTGTGTCCCGGTGGTCACAGCTCCAATAGTCATTAAACTGCAATGAAAGCACTTGACAGATAAAAATACATTCATAGTGCTATTTAGCAAGTCTTTCCTTGACACTGATTGGCCTCCTGCTGTACAGCATCCAACGGTGTGAACACGTGGACATGTCTGCAGCCCCCCACCACAGCACATACATGGGCCACCCATCTATACCTGAAGGAGCATTTACAGGAAACACATGTGAAGGCATCAGAGCGAGCCCTGTGAAGCCTGTCAGAGATGCTGCTGGACTGTCAGGCTGGGACCGGAACGGGCTTTGGACAATATATTTGTCCCGTTCTATAAACAAATGACTAATTAGTGGAAAATGTTTCCATCACAGCTGCTTCACCTGTAACGAGAGCCTTTCTGTTCAGTCTGCTAAATCTCAGCAGGACCGATGTGAGGGATGCTTCTACAGCCTCCACAGTGCCCTAACAGCCTGTGATCCAATGTGGGTCCCATGATTACATCAGGTGACAACAGCACCGGATGGCTGCACGATACCCACAGAAGCCACAAAAACGACCACATCAGAGTTCCCAGTGGACCTCTGCTCCAACAGAACCCTGTCCATAAGAAGCAGAGCCTGGCAGTGATGTGCAGATAGACCACTGATGAGCTGTAGTGAGACGGATTCAGCAGTGTCATCAGATAACTCCCACCCTGGGCACAAGAGAGCAGCCTCAACTGGATGCTTTGAATGTACAGATAATGAATGGACAGCCTCCATTAGCAAACCGCTGCTGCTTAAGATAAATTAGAGGAAGAGCGCTGCACTGGAAACAAAACACCTTCATCAGTATTTGCTGAGAAACTCAGAGGAATCAAGATAGAGTATAATTATGTGGCGAGCAGCAAGCGAGGAGTTTATCACAAAGCAGGCTCATTTACATCTGCACTGAAACAAGCAGACAGACACATTATCAGTCTTCTTATCATGACTTACAATGTTTGACTCACTGTGTTAGCGTGACGGATCTACAGTCATTATACACATGAATTAAAACAAGACTTGCTAAAAAAAATGGACTGAAGAGCAGTTGAGCTGTGGAGCTGACGTCTGATCAGAAACACACCACACAACGACAGAAACTACCATCCTACCAATCACACCAGGTATGTGTTACTGAACAACTTCACGCCAGAAGTCACAAATGTTTTACGCGGCAGAATGTCTTTCAGTCCATAGTAAATGGTCTGCACTCATATAGTTCTTTGTTCAGTCCATGTTTATGTACACGAGCACAATGATGTCACATCACAACGAGCGTAGACACAGAAGCTGATCGATATCCTCCAGCGTCATGAGGGAACCTGAACCCTGCGTCCACACACACCGATCAGCCACAACACTGAGCAGGTTCAGTGTTCAACACCTTCTCGTCACAATGCAATGTTCTGTGAGGAAACCTAGAGTTCCTGTGGATGCTACCCAGACATGGAGCCCCTACCCAGGAACCCCCGGGGCCCACAGGATGTGCTGCTGACGCCAGACACCAGGTCCAGGCCCTGACGGGTCAGAACTATTCTAACAACAGGAGGTGTTTCAGGTTGCAGCTCATTGACCTGCACCTGTGTGTGTTCTTAATGAAGCAGGAAACATGTTGTTTTCAGGAGATTTTTAATGGAAAAATATCTGCATATTCATAGACTGGCTTGTTTCAGGGAGGGAGAAAGACTCAAACCAGATAATTACACAAGCCCATTGAATTTTTATTTATTCCAGGCAAAGTATTTCTGTCCTTGAAGAAAAGAAAAGCCGTGACGACTGGGTGTAGTCCTTCTGCTGATGAATGGCATGCAATATGATCAAAAGCTCTCAAGTGCTGAATAAAGAAGCTTAGTTTGATAAAGACGCTGTTTTCTCAACAATATTAACTTCATGTTCTGGGTTTGTGAAGAAGTACGTGTGGCCTTGTTGTTCTGCTCCTCCAGACATCACAGGAAGGTCTTTGTCTCTGAACGCATCACGTCCTGCTCCACATGCACCACATATTCAATACTGTTTGAATTCATCTCAGATGAAGCCTCAATAAAAGAAAGTCTTCAGCACCGACATACTTCCACATGTGTTGGACTGCTGCATGTAGAAAGGCTCCATGTGTCCTGTTTAATGAAGCGTCCTTTAAACGCCACGTCTGTCCAACACATAACCTGACCCATACAGAGAGTACCACCAGGTCCACCACCTGGTTCACCATCAGGTCCACCACCTGGTTCACCACCTGGTTCACCACCTGGTTCTCCATCATGTCCACCACCTGGTTCTCCATCAGGTCCACCACCTGGTTCTCCATCAGGTCCACCACCTGGTTCTCCATCAGGTCCACCACCTGGTTCTCCATCAGGTCCACCACCTGGTTCTCCATCAGGTCCACCACCTGGTTCTCCAGTACTGGGAGCAAATACTCAAATCTTTCAAACAAACAGAGATGTGGGGCTTTAATCAGCCTGTTTGTGGGCTACACTGATTTACTACGGTTTCCAGAACAATAACATCATCTCCACATAGAGCTTCAGTTCACACTGTCAGGGCGTCCAAGGCCTTCTGTCCAGTCGTTCACTGCTTCAGTCCAGGACGCCCACTTAGCTGCTCTGTAACTGAGGCAGCGTTCATTTATTCTTCCGGCTAATTTTCTCAAAGTCCATTTCATGTCAAGGTGACTCTGCTAATCTGCGGGTTTGGGGTTTGTGATCTCAGGGACTGCCTGTGTCGTGTTTTATTGGTCATTATTGTACCGTTTGCTTCACCCCCACATGATAGGACGATGAAGATGATCCTACTGCTCTCTCTGAAAACAGCTAAATGTACGAGTGTGTTACTGTTCAAACAGCTTTAAATCAGCAAAAGGCAGAAAACCGACAGACTAAAATCTAGTGGTGCCATAAACCAAAGCCTCAACTCCATCAGGTAACTTTAATGAGAGAAACATGCATTCACACAATACATAAATATTACATGTGGTCCAAGAAAAGTCTAACTTTTGGGCAGTACCGACACTGTGTTCGAGGTTCTGCATTACGAATGGCTGGAGGTGCGATCTGATCATCAATATGTAACATGGATTTTAGCCGAGGCCAGAGAGTCTGTCTCCACTGGCCTGAGGCTTCCTGAATCATTTAGTGACACTGCCATACGCCTACAGCATCGAAACACAGAGAAGGAGGCAGCAAGAAGACAGAAATAAGACAAAACCAGGAGGGCTGAGAAAACAGAGCGGGACCAGAGCTTTGCTGGTGTCCTAGTGGGAGGGAGGAGGTCCTGTTTGACTGAATGTTCTGCTCACTTTCCACCCTGCGGTCAGACAAGAGAACATGATGAAACCAGAGATGTGTGGACAGTGATAGGCAGAGGCGAAGTGAAAGTGAGACGCCACCTGTAGTCTGGGGACTGTAATGTGGGCAGCAAGAGAGGAAATAATGAGTATTAGTGTTTATGACTGTAACAATATCACTTAATGAGCATTAAGCCACGCTGCTGCTCAGTGACATTTCCGTGCATTACCATGAACACACATCCCACATACACCACGCTGCTGCCAGGAGCACTCACTACTCAGCCACAGCAGATTAATCCGCCACTGAAAATAGCTCCCACCAAACGCACCATGTCCTCCTGTTCTCCCTCCATTTGATAAACCAGCTGTTGTAGGGAATTACTGAGCCTTTTTTAAGATGAACCAACATCCATTGGGTGTATTTAAACATTCATGTTGTCAGAGGATAATGCTGGGTTTGGGCCCGGAGCCGGAGTTGATCCAGATCCTTCTATGACACACACTTTCTGACCTTTTGTCCAAATACTTCTACTGGTGTTCATGTTAGTGGTTTCGTGAAACATGACGTACTTACAAGTTCCTGGAATCCAAAGTGAAATAATTCAATATTTTGAGTTGTCTGACACCTAGTATTAGTTGTAATAAAACCAGCAGACACTCGGCTGTGACTGTCCTTTAACCTGTGGCAGAGCTCATTAGTGGCCATTCGTCTACGCTCCACACACAGACAACTGCATCCCTGTTTATTTTACACTTGTTGTGTTTCCAAGCGTCCTTGAGCTCTACGTGGATAAGGCAGCGCAGACTCAAGGATGCACTGTGGACGCCTTGGAAACATGTTTGGAAAGTCAGCAGAGGAATCATTTCAAGGTCCAGGACTTCCTGAGATGGTGAGCGGCCCAGTCTCTGTCGGTGTAAACACCATGCTATCTGCACCAGCTGAGCTCTAAAGGCCAAGCGCTGCCAGATGACTGCTTCATGGAAATCCTGATAAAACTGACTCAGTTGTTTTAGCAGCCGATAGTTAAGCCCGACTTGCTGGGGGAAAGGGAAGTGAAACAGAAACTATCAGAGTAAAGGTAGTTAGTGAATGACATGGTTCCTACAACATGAAGTCCAGCACGGCTCAGGAAACACCACAACCAGGACTAGAAGCAGACAGAACGCAGGCAAGAAAAAAAAAAGAAGAAAAAAGCTTTTTCAAAAGGAAAATAAAACTACATGTTTTTTTAAAGAATAATATATTTTTTTAAATCCTTATTTTTAAGCTGTGCTGCCTGCAGTTCAGTCCCTGGACACATGTTGGTCATGTTGCTTTACTGCTCGACAATTTGTTAAATAAGACATGCACAATACAATGATTTTAATGAAATAGCCAAGTTTTTAGCTTACACTTGTAGCAGCATATGATGAGTTTAAGGACAGTCAGAAAGCTGAACATCTGATAACTCCTTCTGTGTTTACAGTGTTGGCACAAATCAGTGACGAGGAACAAACAGTGCTAGACGCTACTCAAGCAAGTATATACACAAAGAAGAAGTCTTGTAACTAGAGGCTTCAAACTGACCTACCTGATGTAGATTAACAACTAAATAATTCAAATTAAAGCCCATACTGCCTCCTCTTACCAACAGAGCTACACCTACAGGCGGAGCAGCACCCCAAGACGGAGTGTCTGCACAACTACTGAGACTCAACTCAATTCATACTGCCTGCAGCAAAACCCTGAACTGGGCCGAACCTCCAACGGAAAGGGGTCTCCAGGAAAAAGTTCACAGGTCTGCAATGAAGAAAGTTTCTGGAACAACCACAATTGATCCAAGTCCTGGAAATACCAAACAAAGACACACAAAGGTGAGCTGCTAACTCCAAGTCACAGCTGACCAAGCTCCTAACCAGCGAGACTGGAGCATGGTGCTGGAGCAGCAGAACCATCAGGCAGAGCAGGAGGCAGGACGGAGGACAAGCAGCTGACACTCTCCCAAAAGGAAAGCATGCAGATGTGCTGTGAGACAGCCCAACACCTGGCCACCAGTGACAACACCACCCCGTCCACACCGTGCAGTGGAGGGGATTTAACCCCAGAAGGACAACATGAAGTCATGATGAAAGCAAGCTAAAAGCTCCAGGTGTCGAGCCAGAGAGAACCACAGCTTCTGAAGACATCTGATAAACTGTCAGACTGCGCAGCATGCAGTTACCTTTTGGTTCCCACTCTGTGGTTTGGAGCAATGTCAATGGTGTCTGTGGCAGAGTCGTGACGGACAGCCAGACCCAGGTCAGCGATGCAGCAGGTCCCGTTCTTCTTCACCAGGATGTTCTTTGACTTCAGGTCTCTGTGGGCAATAGCTGGCTTTCCTGTAGACACAGAGTCACACATTAGACCAGCATGCTGCACTCAGTAAAACAACAGGAACAGCTGCCTGGAGTTACATCAGGTCCAGAAGGAGGTTGAACTTAGCCAGAAGATGTCTGGTAACTTTTGAAAAGACCAGAAGAATTTCTAGTTCACTTTGGCACTTTAGTTTTAACAATAATAAGTGGGGAGCTTCCTACGAACCAACGCAGACTCTCCACAGACTCCCACTCAGCAGCCTGCACTCATACAGACCAATGTTCTACCACCAACGGGCCGGTCCCTCCTGGAGCAGCCCACTGACCCGTGTGCACTACTGTATGTGCTGAAACCTCTGCTGTCGCATCAAAGAAACAAAGACGACACCACTCTGGAGTCACTGTTTGACAAGACAGTGGATTCAGATCCATGTTTCATCGTTTTCAGTTAAAATGCTAAATATATATTTTCTGATATCAGATCGCTATCCGATCTACCACAGAAGCTGGAGGAGGCTTTGTCTGGCCTCTTTAAGCAGTGGAGTAGTTTTTCAGTTTCTCTTGGCCAAAAGCGGTCAAGGGCGGCTTCGCTGTGATAAAAAGCAGCAGCCAGACCCATGTCCACATTCAGAGGGATGCCAGTCGGCCCTATTCTCCTCTCTCTGCATTCATACTGTTAGTCTAAAGAACCTCCAACTTCCACCGAAGCTGACACGTCTCAAACTCAAGTGGATGTGTCTTCAGTTCAACTGGCTGCACACAATGGAGCAGCTCATTTCCATTTGTGTCCTTCTGCCTGTAGTGTTGTTTCCAGAGGCTGCTCAGTGTTGCTTCACGCTGCTGAAGAGCAGCTTTCACTGTGCTGCTCTGGAATATGAGGCTGCATCAGATCAATGTGTCTGGATAGTCTGGACTAAGCTGACACACGTGCACGTACACTGCATGCCTCACTTTGAACATATGAATTTTGGAATGATTGTGTGTGTGTGTGTGTGTGTGTGTGTGTGTGTGTGTGTGTGTGTGTGTGTGTGTGTGCGTGTGTGGCCCATACCTTGCGTGCCCACTATTTCCATGTGGAGGTGGGCGAGGCCGCTGGCCGTGGACAGGGACAGTTTGATCATGCCCTCCACAGTGACGGTGTAGCGGTTCAGGTAGTCGAACAGGGAGCCGTGCTCGTGGTAGTCCGACACCAGCCACAGCTGAGTCCACGTCCCGTTATCTGCACACAGGGAGACAAGCAACAGGGAGGAGCTCAGAGCCGTATGAAACTTTAAGGCATCTGAAGGTTAAATAAATTAAATACAAACATATCTGCTACCGACAGCTTTAATACGCTTTTAAATGTTTCTTTCAATGGTTTTCACAACATGTACACACGTCATACTAACTACATGCCAAAGTAGATCCTTGTCTGTCTTCACAACTTCACAAGCTGAGAAACTCCTCATTTTATTCCACTCTGACAAGCAGAATAAACCTCGACGTACAGTCGCTGTGTGTGTGTGTGTCTGTGTGTGTGTGTGTGTGTGTGTGTGTGTGTGTGTGTGTGTGTGTGTGTGTGTGTGTGTGTGTGTGTGCGTTTGCGTTTTTGTTGACTCAGTCTTGATACCGTGACGACACACGGAGGTGATTGTTTGGTTCATACTTCATTCATTTCTTTGCGTTAGCTTATTTCTATCCCACAGGACTTGGTTCAGCCTCATCTTAATCCGTCTTCTCAGAACTCTTTCTGGTGGTTTCTCACCTTTATTGTCAGCAGCAATGAAGCCCAGAATGTTCTCATGTCTCAGCATCACAGTCTGGTAGATCTCAGCCTCGCGGAACCAGGAGCGCTCCTCTCGGGAAGAGAAAATCTTCACAGCCACCTCCTCGCCACGCCATTTACCACGCCACACCTCGCCAAAACGCCCCTTCCCAATGCTCTCCTGGAGGATGATGGTTCTGGCAATGGTCCTCTGGACCAGCAGTGGCAGACCTGGAGAGAAAATAAAAGATTTAGAAAGCTGACAGCAACGTGGAGAGGGAGTGACGTCTAAAGGACGAGTTGACGGAGGAGGTGAACGTCAGGTATCCAGGCTAATCTGTGGGACTAAACTGAAGTGTGACGTTGTAGAGAGGCAGGTTTGATCCTTACAACAGACAGGGACTCCACCAAGCAGGACCCAGTCTTTGCACCTCACCTGTGCTCAGGTGTGGGCTTTATGTGTTCCTCAGAGGATGGAGGAACATTTTAATGTGACACCTGGAAACACACAAAGCCCCAGAGACACGAGGGGAGTTCTGAAACCCGGGCTGGAGGAACTACAGTCCAGCAGAGGTCAAGCCTCTGCTTTCCCTCCACATTACAAAACGTAGAGACGCTAATTTAAACACCTGGTAATTCAATTCACCAAACGCCTCGTGTCTGACCAGGTAGTGCCTGCTGGTCATCGGGGTCATCGGTAACAGGAGTGTATGAGTTAAACATCCTTAAAGAGTGGTGGGGTCATGACAACCTTCTGTAGAGCAACGATTAAAGAGCCATAACATGAGGAATTTACACCATCACACAACAGACTGCAGGACTCTATCACAGCTGGGCGGTACCAGTAAAGACAAGTGTGCCTTCAGAGTAAAGCTTAATGCTAAATCTTTAACCATCCGTGTGCTTGTTCTTTCGACCTATAAGCCCATTTAGCCGAATAAGTTTTAAATACTATCAGTTTAAAATTCTGTAACAACTCAGAAAACGACACGCGATGTTCGTTAGTCAGGGTTTCCCGTTACTTCTGCTAACCCACGAGGACAGAGAAAAGGGAAAAAGACTGAAAATGATCCTCTGGTTTTCAACACACACTCTGAGTCAGCGTAGTAATTACAACAGCCCACACAGTTCTGCTAATATACACACACACACACACACGCCAAGTGTACCAGCTACACACACAACCGCACATCATGCAATATGGTGTAAATAGCTAGAAAGACCTAATCCAAGTCCTCTCTTGGCAGCACGTTGGAGGTGCCAGTCTCCACGGAAAGGTGCTAATTTATGGCCAGCACAGAGAACAGCTTTTGCCTGAGCAGGGCTTGTGTGTGTGTGCAGCCAGAATCTGGGCCACACACTCATCGTAACACACTTTAAGATGTGTGTAGATGCTCCTGCTGCACATGTGTACATGCAGACACACACAGGAAGGGGAGGATGTGTGCAGGTCTCTAACATCCAGGAGTCACACAGCAGTCATAACCCTAACCAGGAGCAGAGGGCAGGTGAGCTGCAGTGTCCTGACATGTGATGACAGGTGTATTTTTATTGTTTTGTATGGATTAAACAATATACTGTTCATATAAAGGCTCTTTATGCAGTCTTTGTGCTTTGCTAAGCTAATGCTGGTGGTCATTTTGTGTGATACATATACAAAGCCTGGTATTAATTTGAGAATCTTAACTCTCAGAAGAAATTACTGCTTATATTTCCAAAATCCAACTATTCTTTATCTCAGACAGCAGAGCCGGGCAGCGCTGTACCTGATCCTGATCCTGAGGTGGTCATGTCGTAGATGAGGTCCTTCAGCGTGGTGCCAACGGTGATGAAGGGGTGGTCCATGGAGGGGTCCTCCTCATTGGGCACCCGGTGGTGGTGGTGATGGTGAGCCCCGGCGCCCCCGGCCCCCAGACCCCTGTGACTGTGGCAAACATAGAAGGCCAGAACCAGCAGCAGGCAGAGCACACATACTGGGCCAGCGATGACAGCGGCGAGGGCCACGGGGCCCAGCGGAGGAGTCTTCACTGTAGGAACTGCAACACACAGAGGAGAGAGCAGATGAACGCTAAATAATACAGATATTTCAAGATAGCAAACAAATGGTGAGAGATTAAGCGAAACTGTTGTGAAGGTTAGACTTGAGCATACTGATGGCTGGCAAGTGGCAGGCCTAAAGTGTTAGCCATGAGCCAGGAAGCTAACAGGCCAAGTGGTGCGGGGGCACGTTCCATCTGCTGGACTGATGGGAGACTTGGCCTGTAGCTGACACACACACTCGCTTTTCTTCTATCTGTGTGAGAACCCTCATTACAGCTCACTTCAGTGTGCATCCAAACCTCAGACACAGCCTGATTCCAGCCTTAAACAGGCCTGTGCTGCATCGTCTAACAAGCTAACAGCAGTGTCACTGGAAACAACGGCTATCGGTGATGTGGAGAACATCCATGGAAACAGCTGTCCTGTGTCCTCGCCTGTCTTTGCCTCCCAAGTCACAATATGATGCAACATTGGTAAAAAATAAACCAAATACGTCCCAAGCGTCCATATATAAATCTGACTAGAATCCAGCCCTTTTCATATAAACGCGGTTCTGTCCACCTCAGACAGCTTTGCAAACGCTGCCGTCCTGCTTTGCACCGTTTCTAGTCTGAAAGTTTTCCACATGTGATGAGAAGCTGGTTAGCCACGGTGCTGCTCAGTGCTCGCCTGCTAGCTGGCTGCTAACTGTGGAACGGATCTCCTGAACCGAGGCGTGTCTCATTGTGACACACCTCCGATCAGAACCTCCGTCCAGCTGGCAGAGCAGCAGCAGGGAATCCCTTGTGGTGTCAGTTCAGCAGACAACGTTAAAGCACAGACGTGGCTGATGGATCAGAAATCACCGATCCGTGAATTACGCTGGTATCGGAACCAGATGCCGATACTGGATCGGTCCGGACCCGTCCCTACCGTTGACTCAACTCTTTTTGACACCTGGATTTGCAAAAAACACAAATCTGTTATTTATTTTCTGTTATAAGTGAAAAAGTACAAAACATCAGCTTAACATTGTGTAACTGAGCTGCAGCATCAGCGGGCTTTGACTGAAACATGAAGCACCGCAGCAGCATCTCACTTCAGCTACCACTCATTAGCATCAATCAGCCAATAACCAGCCCACCACAGACTGTGTATGAGGTATAGTGCTCCACTATAGTGCTCCTGTAGCTGGTCAGCACCAGAAGTCGTCTGTTCCTACATAATAGAACTTATCAATAACTAAAGCTGATCAGTTGAATCATTTAGCTCTTGGCTCATGTTTCTGTGTTTCCATACACAGCAGTTATCATAACTGAGCATGGCTTTGCTTTACGGCACCACGGGCCAACACAGAAGCTTCACTGGATGGCTTATGACAGCTGGTGTGATGGAACAGGCAGAGCAGTGAGGAGAAAGCTTCAGGGCTGCACCTCACAACGCCATGTGAAGTATGCAGGTAAAGAAAAGTGGAGCTCAGTTTTAAATGACTTGTCAGGTGCTCATCCAGGCCCACGTTACAGGTAAAGGATAGTTTGGTTTCTCTAGATTGTCTTATATGAGGTCCTTATCCAGAGTCGGGGTTTATAATCAGAGAGGGCTGTGATGAAGCAGCACACACATCCCCAACGTACGCCTGAACTGGTGCTGACGGTTTTAGCCTGTCGTGTGTCCACAGCGTTTCACTGCTCAGCTTCCATACTGGTCTTCCCCAGAGAAAAACAAACCATCCATCAAACTGGTACTGACTGGTCACTAACCGATAGACGTTAAATCAAAGTCACCATAACGCTTTCACACGTACTGGCGATGTGATTCTAGGTGACAGTGACGCTCAGCGCTGTCTATGAAAAGCCGTTACCAAACAGACGTAACATTGCACTTATAGTTAAAGAGGTGGTTTTCACACACAGGTCAGCTTTTCATGTAAGCTACAGACATTGCTGCGATGCTTCTGGTCTCTGGTGTGCAGGAGGGACTGGTGCTGGTACTGCTGGGAGACGGGCTGGAGAATCACACAGGGTCAAGGGCTGTTTATCTCAATGGCTTGATTAAAGACCGTTCTGAGCTTAAAGGATGCTCAGCTCTGCTCCTAAATACTCTAACAATGATTAAATTCAACTAGTACCATCATTTAGACACAACACAGAGTTCTGCTGCTATTTTAATTAACAATAAAACAACATACACGTATTGTTAAATAACACATGTTGGTTTGAGTCAGAGATCTGCCATCTCCTGTGGTGTCTATCTGTCTAACACCTCTGGGTATATCAGGTCTTTCTGAATGCTGAACATGAATCAGTAGGGCCACTGAGCTAGTAGGCTCTTAAAACGCTGGTTTAAAACGTTGGTACTGGAATAGTTAGGACTGGGTCAGGACTAAAGTACTGATAAACATTCTGATGGATTGTTAAGCTGACAAAGCAGCTGATCTGCTGCTGTATGGGTCCAAACATGACGGGCCCAGGTCTATGGCAGCACAGCGCAGAAACATGAACGAGTTATGAGGTTATCCATCGTGTAAAGAGAAAAGTAAGAGTTTAACGAGCCATCATTTAATTAAACTGAAACTCGTTTGTGCTTCGTACACTTCAAGCGCCCTGCAGAGATAAATCCACAACGTTCACATTCTGAGGAAGCATATTGAGGGAAACCAGTCTGTCCTCATGAATATGTAAACGCTGCACACAAGTGCCCTAGATTTTAATCAGACCACCAACCTGTGGTGCCAGTATGGACCGTCCTCACTGCACCCTGTTCATCAGGATGTGTTCACAGACACCAGAACAGCATCACATCCTGTATATACTGCATCTTGGTGGCAGGAGAACCTCAGGTTCTGAATGCATCTGTACCAGTTGTCCACTTCACTGTGGGAAGAAACTGTTGTATGAAGCAAGGGCCGAGCCTTTAACACTTCAGAAGTGCAGCTGAGGGTGAAACATGTCATCTGAAGCAGCCTCCTAATGACAGTGTGGTCAGCAGGGTGTCTGTTGACTGTGCAGGGCTATAGGGATCAGTTCTTAGAACAACTGACACACCACTGTACTGCTGGAAGTATTAGAACTGACTGAGGAATAAATGTGATATCTTACTTTACCTGCATGTAACCGCTGACCAGGTAATGTGCTGGTATAAATACATTATGTGGGGCTGGAGGCAGCAGGCTGCTGCTACGTGTCAGATGGTGAATGTGTGGTGATCATCCTGAGGGGAGCCTGGTCTATAATTAAATCCATCCATCATCTCTACACCTTCAGCCTCACCAGGGTCATGGGGGGCGGAGCCTATCCCAGCTGACTCAGGGTGAAGGCAGGTTCACCTGGACAGGTAACCAGTCTATCACAGGGCTACACTTAGAGACAGACAACCAAGCACACTCACATTCACACCTACGGACAATTTACAATCACCAATTAACCTCAGCATGTTTCTGGACTGTGGGAGGAAGCCGGAGAACCCGGAGAGAACCCACGCTGCACGGGGAGAACATGGAGACTCCACGCAGAAAGATCCCAGGTGTCCTCACCGGGACACCAACCGGAGACCTTCTAGCTGTGAGGCCACGGTGCTAACCACTGAGACACCTGCAGCCCGTAATCAGTACAAGACTTTTGTAATTCAAATTAATCTTTCTTGTCACTGACAGAACTACAGCTTAGTGTGTGTAATTAGTGGGAGATATACAAAAACACAAAACAATACAGCAGTCACAAAACAAGATTTACTTCCAAGACATTCCCTCACTACATAACCACAGGTGTGACAGTGTGATTTTACCAGGTGTGATGGTGAAGTTGGGCTTCTCGTTGCAGTAGTCCGTGGTGCAGCACAGCGGGTAAATGCCGCTGTCGTGTTTGACGGATGGGGCACAGATGAAGGGCCGGTCTCGCGGGATCAGTTCGTTTTCGTGTACACACTGGCGCTGCTCGGTGGTCTGCTGGGCACCTGACTGGCGCACGGCGACGAAGCAGACGCCATCTGTTGTGCAGCTGGAGTTGGCGCTGCAGCGGTCACAGTAACACTGGAGGGCTGGAGGAGGAGCAGCAGAGGAGGGACAGGGTCAGAGCTGAAGTACATCCAAACATCATCCAACATACAGCAGGAGGAACTCGTGTCTCGTTTACACAAAATGTATTTCTGACTAAAAACGTGAAATCTGGCAAACTGAACCGAGCTGTACGACTTGCTGTGAGACCAAAGTTGCTCAGCAGCGACTGACCTTGTGTGAAATGAAGAACATGTACATGCGTCACAATGAGCCTCGTCCACGGCCCAGACTGGCCACATCCACAGTAATACAGCCCTTAGATATTAGCTGGAAGGAACTCTGACTAACACACCGCTGGACGTGACACAACTCCGGTCGTACTGCACAGACACAACTCATTTCTAAATGTTTGGCGTGTTGCTGGCACTGACGGACAGACAGAGATGCAGCTGGAAAACTCTTTATTCTCCTCCTGTTCCTTCTGCTATTCGGGGAAGGGTCTGCTGATGAACTGGTATACTTTGCACTGAGAAATGTTCTCTGGTATGACCTTAAAAGACAAACACACGGTGGGTCTTTACAGCAGACCAGCTACACAACTCCTGTTCTCCTGACTGTGTGAATGTTCTCTGGTTCTGGCTGTAACTTTGATTTAAACGAGAGAGAAAAGCAGGAACGTTGCTGCATTTGTAGACACAAAATTCAAGAACAAATTCAGCACATGGCACAGCAAAGTTCTCCTGGCTAAATACATAAAAACAGATTTTAATTGATTTTGTTTTGGGGCGATGGCAGTTAGAAAGACAGTAAGAAGGTTTTTAAGCATTTACTCAGCAGGTGTAAGAACCAGAACACATTTTAGGGCATACGGTTTGAGAATGAAGATAGAAAACCAGCTCCACAGGTAGCTCAGCCAGCTACGGTACAGTTTGGTGGAAATGGAAATAAATCACGACACTCAGTAACTACGTCTGTCAGTTCACTTGATCTGAACTTACAACTGGAGTGAGTGAAAACGTAAGATTCACGCTTATCTCGATCCCATTCAGTCGGTGAAGCTGCTGGCACAAGCATCCCATTCAAAGAGGAGACAGACTGACAGAGGACCAGTTAAAGACTCTACTACTGCATCTCTTCTGTTTAATTCCCAGCACTGTACCGGAGGACGGACCCGTGGCTCCGAGTCCACAGTTCAAGCATTAGCTCTGGTCAGCCAGCAGGGTGGAGGGTATTTACTAATAAACCCTGTTCCTGTAAGAATTACTCATGTTTCAGTGCTGTGTGGCCTCCAGAGCAGAAAGGCCCCTTAAAACAGGTTAAAGTGTTGGATCATGTTTCATGGAGCTGCTTCAGAACAATATCTATTTTGTAGTCAGGAACAGTATTTTAGTATATTTTTGCAGCCTACGTACTATGTCTGTGCCACATAATGAATCATTGACTACTTCCTCATTCTTTGGAGTCCACCAGCGCTGTGAATCAGCAGCAGCATCAAACGGGGATTCAGATGCATCACTGGCTGCTAACCACACCGACTACCCTGTCAAGTCCTGCTCAGCGTTTGGACTGTGACTCCTTAACAACCTGAAAGTAATCACAATGAATAGTGGAGGAAGCGCTGGAGATGGTAGGGCTGCCTGGTGTTGAAGAGCTGAGGTCGTCTCACGCCATCTGTCTGGAGGCTGATGAAACAACAGATGTGGCCATTAGCCGCCAGCTGGATTTAAGCACTAGTTAATGCTTATTAACATGTGTGAAACCCTATTAATTTCATTTTTAGACTCCTTTAGGCTTCTTTTTTCCTTACACCTCACATCTGCAGCCTGGACAGCAGTCCTGACGGCAGGTTAAAGTGAAGTACGAGGGGCCATCAGGGTCCTGGGTCATTATGGGGAACATCATGGAGGGTTGGGAAGCAGTCAGTTATTATATCTGTTTTGGCAGTAAGGTGCTATGACAACTGTGAGTGTTTCAGTCACACTAGAAGTCCTTTGGCTCCATCCTTGGCCAGTCTCTGAAGGACCAGGTGCTGGTCAGTGACAACAGCGACCAGGCGGAAACACACCTGAACCTGTGTCTTCTAGCTGCAGCAGGGCCGGTCATCCCCAACCACCTGCAGTACGAACTGTGAGAGGCTTCCCGACAACAAGCACACCAACTGTGTCTTTTTATTTTGGTAAAGTTAATTTTAAGTGTCAGCTTGTCGTATGGTTTCTAAATAAAAACTGACCCAAGAAACAGAACCCTAGGGGAGCACTGGGCTGCGTGACTGAGAATACTGTGAATGGACCAGCACCGGAGGCACCCCCATATGTACAGGCATCGCAGCTCTTCTCTGAGAAGCCCAGAAAGCTTAAGGACAAGCAGCGGCATCTTTCTACACATTACAGAGTGCCGATAGCTGATTGGTCAGGGTGCGTACCACATGCTGTCCGACTCACTGCCACCAGACCCTTACTGCTCTCCGTCCTTACACTTCCTCTCTCTATCTGAATAAAGATGGAGAGAGATTAAACCAGCAGCATCAGCAGTGAAGGGCTGTACTCACGGTGATAACATGACACCAGGCGTGTAGGCAGAGCACACAGCTCATGTGTGTCATGATGCTTCCTAACATTATGCAGAAAAGCTGGCTGAGAGAGAAAATTACAGTTCATAACAGAGTCTAATAAATGTTTAATAGTGCGTCGTGCCTCAGGCTTGCCATTTCCCCTTTATCTTGTGCATTGCTAATTAAAGCTAACCGCAGCCTAAGACATGCTGCTCACAGCCAGCTGGAGCAAAAGCCCAGATATGGGATGTTTCAGTCATTTCTGAGCCATTCTCAGAATAGCTGCATGTATTGTTACCACGGCTGTTATTTCTCGTGTGGAGACACAGGTCAGGGCATCTGTAATCACCTCTGAACACTGAGAAATATCAGGTCAGACACCAGCAGAGGAAGGAATGTGCTTAATGTAAAGAAGTCTGCGCAGCGATCCCTCAGGCTTCCAGCTATTAGCAGTGGTGTTCTGGAGCGCTATGAATAAACCAGGTCTGTCTCCACCGTGTCCTTGCCCCCAGCACAGGGCACACAAGGAGCTCAGTCTGGTATCATTATGCAGCTCAGAAACCCATCATGTATGGCTGGCTAGGCTAGAGCAACACAACACAGCTCCTAAGATAAGACCGGTAAATAATTAACATGGCAGGCATACAGTCTGGGCAGGAAAGGCGCTGAGAGGGCCTGACACACACAC